TTATAAAAGTAATACATGCTCACTAATTGGAAAAATACAAAACCAAAAGCAAAATAACTGTCATCCATAATCTCATTGGCTAGATTTAAAGCCACAGTCCCCTTTTTTATGTGTGTTTATATATATGTATTTTTTTGTATATAATTTTTAAAAGTTGGGAACAACGTATGTACAATTTTGAGTCCTGGTGTTTTATTTAACATTAGAGAGACATTTCTTGTGTCATTAGTCTTCAAAAATACTTTGAATGTTTGTATAGTGTTCCATCCTATGAACATGTCACAACGTATTTCATCAATTCCACATGACTGGACATTAAGGTTGATTTCTCATTTGTTAGTCTAAATATCACTGTGATGAGCAACCTTTTAACATCTACGTCCACATCTCTGATTATTTCCTTTAATTATTAGAAAGGGGATATTTTTGAGCTAAAAAGTATGAGTTCTTAAGACTGCTGACACAGATTGCCAATCTGCTTTCCCAAAAGTTTCTACCAGTTTACACTCCCACCAACAGCTACGAGAGCTGGCATGGAATAGTGAAAGCAATTTCTCCTGTGAGGCATGACTAGAAAGTTCAGACCTTGTCCTGTGCAATGTTTTAAGCAAGGTCCCACATATTTAGAACTGGGCTCCAGAACAGCTCTGGCTGCAGGAGGGAGGTTAGGGTGGAGGGGGCAGGGGGCACCAGTGTGGGGGCTGACTGACACCACAATGCAGGGGGAGTCGCACACATTGGGGAAGTGCAGGGGGGGGGTGGGAAGCTTGCTGGAGGGGACAATCCTTGGTGTCTGGTTGGAAGGGGCCAGGGAGTGAAAGAGATGAGACTGGCTTATGCAGGGTTTCTAACTCTGAGTGTGGCTGCTAAGGGCCATTTATACAGTCTATATTTAAGGGACATACCTGAGGACATACCTGTTGGCTCTTCTTGGAGCCCCAGGGCAAGGCCATGGACAGACTAAGGATAGTGGGGGAGAAAACCCATTCACAGAAGAAACAAACCGGCCAACAGAGGAGGGTGGTGTGTGGGAGGAAGAGTGCTTGTTTGGGGTCCTCGGCTGTAATACTTCCCTTTCTGTTCCCTCCAGGCCTCAGTTTCCTCATCCAGAAAATGGGGGATGAAAAACTGAGCAAAGAAGGAAGGAACCTACCAAGGAAGGACCCTCAGAGGGCATGTGGCAGCCCCAGGGAGGGCAGCCCCAGGCTGGGCCTAGGTTTTTTTTTTTTTTTTTTTTTGAGACAGAGTCTCACTCTGTTGCTGGGGCTAGAGTGCCATGGCGTCAGCCTAGCTCACAGCAACCTCAAACTCCTGGGCTCAGGTGATCCTCCTGCCTCAGCCTCCCGAGTAGCTGGGACTACAGGCATACGCCACCATGCCCGGCTAATTTGTTCTATATATTTTTAGTTGGCTAATTAATTTCTTTCTGTTTTTAGTGGAGACAGGGTCTTGCTCTTGCTCAGGCTGGTTTCAAACTCCTGACCTTGAGCGATCCACCTGGCTCAGCCTCCCAGAGTGCTAGGATTACAGGCGTGAGCCACAGTGCCCGGTCGGTGGTGGGCCTGGGTTTTTACCCTGGGGCTTCAGACTTGCCAGATTTCCTGTGGAGTCAGGAACTCCTCACCAGGGAGCTGACCACAGCTTTGCCCTGGCAGGTACAATGCCCAGGAGTACTACGACCGCATTCCCGAGCTTCGCCACATCATTGAGCAGCTGAGCAGTGGCTTCTTCTCCCCCAAACAGCCTGACCTCTTCAAGGACATTGTCAACATGCTCATGCACCATGACAGGTGAGCTGGCTGGCCAGGGAGCCATGCAGATGGAGCTGCTGGGCTGAACTGGGCTCGGGTGGGGGTGGGGAGGATGGACAGGAGTCCTGGGCAGTCGGGGCCAGGCTCCTTTGGAAGTGGCATCACTCTCCAGGTCCTAGCTGTCCACTGGGACACAGGGTGGGCTTGGCCCTTGACCTCATAGGGCTTATCCTGTCCCCATAGGGGATGGCTTATGCCCGTCCTTTCCCCTCCAGGTTTAAAGTCTTTGCAGATTATGAAGACTACATTAAATGCCAGGAGAAAGTCAGTAACCTGTACAAGGTGAGGGGTCCTGGGTCAGAGGTTGGTAGGGCTTTGGTGGCCCTGACTGGGTAGAGTCAGAAGGTCCCCCCCACCCCTGCCCATGTGGCAAAGTGAATCCGAAGCTTCCTTTGGTTTGTAGAACCCGAGAGAGTGGACGCGGATGGTGATCCGGAACATAGCCACCTCTGGCAAGTTCTCCAGCGACCGCACCATTGCCCAGTATGCCCGGGAGATCTGGGGCGTAGAGCCTTCCCGCCAGCGCCTACCAGCCCCTGATGACAAGATCTGAGCCTCCAGACCAGACCCCAAACCCTTGGCCCAGCCCCTGCTCCTCATGCAGAGGGTGGGGTACTGGTGTCGGATCCCTAAGCCCCATTTTGGAACCCTCATTTTCCCCCAGCCTCCAGGCCTCAGTGTCCAGCGTGACTAAGGGCATTAGCGCCCTTCTGTCTTCAGGCTTTCTGCCCCCTCCTATTTATGGGGTCTGACCAACTACACCCACTCCCCAATAAATTGACTCTCCTTGGGAGCCTCCTTATTCCTCTCTCTGTTGGGAAATATTTTTAGCTCTTGGCGGGCATAAAAGCAGCTGCGCAATCATCCCCTTATCCTCCACCCCCTAGCTCCCCCCACAGGTGCGTCCCGGGGGCGGGGGTAAGGGTGGGGGTGGGAGGTGGAAGGGGCGGCCCGTAGGGGCGGGCCCTGGGACTCTCCAGCCCCTTTTCCCAGCGTCGCCCTCCACGCCTCTCTTCCCAGTGCTGTGTCCATACTAGGTCAGCGGCCAGCCTGGAGGCCGGGGCGGGGCATCTGCCTGGGTGGGGCTCACCCGGGTTGGGAGCTGGGACTTAGGCTGAAGCCTCCGGGACTAGAGAGGATCCACGCGGTCAGGGACGGGACCCAGGAATGGGAGGCAACTGTAGACGGTTAGCGCCCTCTCGGCTCCGCCCTTAGCCCCGCCCCACTGCGGCGTTTAAGGGTCTCTTAGCAGGTGGCTACACTTGATCCAAAGTCAGGGGAGTGTTAGGGCAGGGGACATTCACAGACCGCCTAGGCTAGGCCAGTGTTACCGCTGGCCTAGCGGTAACTGAGGGGAAACTGAGGATCAGAAAGGGCCTGTTCCTAGGTCTCACATTAACAAGATTGAGGTGTGGCCCCGAAGCAGGGAGGGGCAAGCCTCGGAACAGAGGTTTGGGGTCGGTGGTTTCAAAGTGAGTGTGTCTGAACCCACATGGCCGGAAACCGTTGCCTGCTCTCCTAGGCCTGGCTAGTGGGGACCCCAACCGCCTGCGGCTGCCCCTCCCAAGTTCCTCCCAGCTGGGGGCCAGGCCTCCAGTCTCCAAACTGCGGAGAACCCAGGCCCCCACCGCCTGCGGCTGCCCCTTTTCCTCTGGCCCAGTAGGGAGCCAGGCTTCCGGGGGGGCCCGTCCCTCCAGTAGGAGCTGGAGCCCCCCCATCCCATCCCCCGACATCAAGGCCGCGTCTCCAGGTAGCCACGTTTTCATTCCTCGCTCCCTACAGGCCTCTCTCCCCCCAAAATGCTCCCATCTTGTCCCAGCCCCTCCCCCAGACTATTACAAGGACCCGCTGCCCCCAAGTCCCCGACCTCCGCCAGGCCTGAGCCTCCCGCCGCCTGCAGGAAGACGCCCGGCCCGGGGTCGGGTTGGCCCCGTGGGAACGGTTTGTCTCGAAAACAGGAACCCGGGTTGGGGGCTGGGCGGGGCGCCCCTTCCCCACCGCAGTCCGCTTCCTGCCCCTCCCGGCTTCCTCCGCGTGACACCCAGGCAGGGTGGGGGGCACTAGGGCGTCCAGAGTGGGGGGGCTCTTACTTTAGTTACCCCCTCTGCATCCCGCGCGGCCTGCCCTTGGCTCGCCCACCCTCGGCGCAGCCAGTGGCGCAGCCCCGCCCGCGGCCCCGGCCCCCAGGGTGGCGCGGCAGGGGAGGGGTTAAGCTGCCGCAGGGACCGCCGCGTGCGGGGCGAGAGGGAGCCCCGGGTGGGGGAGGCGCAGCCTGCGGTGCAGAGCCCGGCGCAGGGGCGGGGAGGGGAGGGGGCGGCTGCGGCGCGGGGGCGGGGCGGCGGGGAGCGGGGCCGCTGCGCGGAGACCGGGCGGGAGCCGCAGCCGCAGCGAGGCCGGCGGGCGGGAGCGCACGGAGGTGGGGCCGGCCGGGCCGGGTGCGGGTTCCTTGCGGCAGGTCCCAAGAGTGAGTGAGCGACCCAGCGCTGGCGGGGTGCCAGGCAGTGGAGGGCGCGGCCCCCTGGGGCCCCCCCGGGACGGCGCGGGCGGGCTGGGGGAGGCGGATGGGTGGGGAGTCTGTGGCCCGGGTCGCGGATAGGAGGGAGCTGCCGCGAGAGCTGAGGCGCTCTGGACTACCCGCGGGAGGGGGGCATCCGCGGCGCACGAGGCTCTTCCCAGCCACACTTCAGCGGGGCCCTCCCCTGCGAACCCCCATTTGACAGATGAGAAAATTGAGGCTCGAAGAGGCCAAATAATTCTCAAGGTCACACGACGAGGAAGCAGCAGAGCCAGGCGAGGATAGCTTTTGGTGGCTCATAGGAAAAGTCCTCCTGAGAACTCCGTAGAGGACCCCCGCCCACAGCCTGGGGCAGTATGTGGGAGCGGGGTACCATTCCAAGGCTCTGCTAGGGTCTGGGAGTTAGGGGAGTCAGGGCGCTGCCCTGCACAGCGGATGAGTGGGGGTCGGCGGAATGGGCGAGTGCGCACCCACGGGGGTGTGTGCGCGTGTGTGGGAGAGTGTACATGCGTGGAGATGCACTGTCTTGGGTGTGTGCACACGTGTGCCGATGTCAGCGCTGCTGTGGAGGCAGGACTGGAGGTTGGCCTGGCTTAAGTGAACGGCAGGTCTCGGAGGCGACCTCGTCCTCGGGCTTGCATTCTGGGGTACAGGAATTGGGTATGTGTGCTTGAGGGTTCCTCCGAGCAGGTGTGCACGGGTGTGGGTGCCATTGTGTGTGAGCGGGAGGATGGGAGGCGACTGCCTGTGGCCCCGGTGCGGGTGAGCGTGGCATCTTGCACCTCAGTGCAGCCGCCTGGCTTCCGGTGAATAACTTGGGTATGGAATGGTGTCTGTCCCTGCATGGGTGCATATGACCCCGCCAGTGACCAGAGTTGCTAATGGTGTCATGCACGCACTGGTCACCCCTCACGACGCTAGCGCCCCCTTCTGGGCACCCTACTCTGTGTGCCCTTACAGTTCGCTTGTGCAAGAGGGGGGGCCTGGGTCAGGAGCGGGGGCTAAGGAGAAAAACGGTCTGTGGAAGAGCTGAGCCGGGACCCCTGGGACCTTCATGGAGGTGGCCTGGGAGCGCTCAGTTCCCAGGCTCAGGCTTCCAGCTGACGCCTCCAGGCCGCAGCGGCCCTCCACTCCCCACCCCTGCCCCAGGAATGTTCCTCTCCTCTTCAGCCCGCCGTTCCAAGTGCAGGCCCCTGGGGACCGCCACAGCCCCGCCTTCCCTTCCCGGGCGCCCTGAAGGGGGCGAGGCGGGCAGGACGCCTGGGTTCTCTCCTCCCCCCTCCCAACTCAGGGAGAAATTCCTCTGAGGTCCCCTCAGGCTCTGGGTTCCCAAAATAACCCTGCGGGGGAAGGGAGGCTGAGGAGGGAGGGAAGCGGGCGAGGCGCAGAGCTGAGCTGCGGGGTGCTGCAGGTGCCTCAGGAGAGGGCGCGAGCAGAATGGGGCCTGCGGCTGCCTGGGGCACCAGCTAGTCCCTGGAGTCCTGGCTCGTCCCCATCCCCGTGGAGCCCCTCGGCCCTCCGGCCCTCCGGCGACTCCGAGGGTGGGCCGGAAGCCTCTCGGCTGGTCGGTTTCCTAACTAGCTGGTTGCACCATGCCGGGCCAGACCGTTTAACCCCGGGAGTGGCCGCAGCGGACAACTCCGCCCCTGCCCAGCAGGGGGCGTGCCCGCCCCGCCCCGTTCCTACCCGCGGGGCCGCTCCCCCGGCCCGCGCCTCCGCAGACTCCGGCTGTCTTTCCCGGACAGGGGTTCGGTGCGAACCCGGTGGGAGGCTCCCGGAACGCAGCTTGGGCCCAGCCCACCCGCGCTGGCGGCCATGGCGGGCACCCTGGACCTGGACAAGGGCTGCACGGTGGAGGAGCTGCTCCGCGGCTGCATCGAAGCCTTCGGTGAGTGGCTGGCGAGGGTGCCCTGCCTCCCAGAGCAGACCCCTGGTCCGGACCCACCCAGCTCTGCATCGTGCAGCCTCTTTAACGAAAGCCTCCTCTCCACCACAGGGCAGGGATGCACGCGCTTCAGACAGATGAAATGTTTCCCTTCCCCAGCCTTCCAGAGCCGGCGGTGATGGGAGGGCCGGGGTCCCAGGCTCTGACACGGGAGGGGCATTATCTGTCTCCCAGGGGATCCGGAGGAACGCGCTATCTCCGGCCTGGGAGCTGTTTCCGGCTGATGGGGGACGGCTTATCTGGTGAAGGGTGCCCCTTCCCCCAGCTCTCAGGAAATGACCTCTGGATTCTTGACCCCAGGGAACCCAGGCTCCTTCCGCCCAGCTGGTTCCCCTCCGGAGGATGGGCTGGCTCAGGCGCTCCCCTCCTCCAGCTCCTCAGGGCAGGCCCTCTCCCTCTCCCACCCTACCTTTCCTTTCGGGTTTGTCTCCTGGTTTCCAAGTCCTGGGAAGGTGGGAGGTGGGCGGGGTCGGGAGTGTGGCCCGAGGGACTGATGCTCGGTGGGCTGCTGGGCTGCGGGGCAGGGTCTAGGAGCAGGCAGGGTCTAGGAGCGTCAGACCACCTCTCTTTGTTCGGAATTAGATGACTCCGGGAAGGTGCGGGACCCGCAGCTGGTGCGCATGTTCCTCATGATGCACCCCTGGTACATCCCCTCTTCTCAGCTGGCGGCAAAACTGCTCCATATATATCCTTTGCGGGCCTCGCCAAGGCTGCTGCCATTGGGGTCCACCAGCGAGCCCCACTGCCCAGCCCAGGCGGAGCGTAAGCTTTGCACCTAAACGGAGGCCCTTTCCATATCCCAGAATCCAGGCACTGCCTGGCCTCCTAGGGCCTAAGCTCCACCCTTGCGCCCTCGCCACCCAGGCCCCTCCCCAGACTCTCTCCCCAGCCTAGGCCTTGCCCTCAGCCCCCCTAGAGTCTAAGACCTGTCCAGGTTCCCCCTCTTGCTTCTCCTCTCTCCCAGAGCATAGGCTCTGCTCTCAGCCTCCCCCAGAACCCAGCCCCACCCCCAGCCCCCGTAAGACCCCCCCCAAAGCTTATGCCTCACTCCCAGCATCCTCCCAGAGCGCAGGCCCCGCCCCCAGGCCCTGCCCTCGGAACTCTGTCCAGTCTCCTGCTCCACGTTCTAGAGGTTCTAGAGTTAGACACCGTCCTCGCTTTCCTTAACTCCACTTCACTTACCAACAATCCCGGAAGGACAACTCCAATTCACTGCAGGTGAAAACGTGCCACCTGGTCAGGTGAGTCTTCCCCCTGGGCTTGGGCCCCTCCTCTTGCTCCGTTCTCCCAGGCTTCTGGAGAACCGGGAGGTGTGGACAGAGCTCTATTCTAGGAGTTGGGTGGTGTAGGTTTGAAGGGCCTTAGTTTTCTTATCTGCCCAGGGGGCTCTTTGTCTCACGGTCTTCTGTAACTTGGAGAAGGAAAGAAGTGGGAGAGGGGGAACCACAGTTCGAGACTCTTTGCCCCTCTTTGGGGAACCACAGTGCCAATTAGTTCTTTGGGTAGCCCACTAGAGGATGGTGGGGGAGGGGGGCTGCCTTGGATGACTCCGCCCCTCTGCTAGGTACTGGATCTCAGCCTTCCCAGCGGAGTTTGACTTGAACCCGGAGCTGGCTGAGCAGATCAAGGAGCTGAAGGCTCTGCTAGACCAAGAAGGGAACCGCCGGCACAGCAGCCTCATTGACATCGAGAGTGTGTGCGTGGGGGGAGCTCAGAGGGCTGGGGGGCACTCAGCATCCTACACCATCTGTGCTTAATAAATGTCTGTTGAATTGAATGAGTGAGGGTCATGTCACTCTCTTGCTTAAAAATCTTCCATGGCTCCCTTTAGCCTTCATCTGAGCATGAAGGCCCTTGGTAGTCTGACATCAGCTTGGCCTTCCTGTCCATCTCCCACAGCCCACCGCCCATCCCCCACACCTCATGCTGCAGCTACCTGGGTCCACTTGCCATTGTCTGAGCCACTGCATCCTTTCCCGCCATGGTGTCTGCTCATAATGTTCCCCTCGCCTCCTCCTCCACGTTACCAAGACTTGGCTCAAGTGTAAAGTCTCTGGGCTCTGGGTTTCGGAGCTCTTCCAGAGCAGAATTTGTTGTTCCCTCCTCTGTTCTCCCATGGCATTTTGTACAGATTCCTGTACAAAGACCTCTGTACATATGTCATGCTGTTTTGTGATTGTGTGTTTCTGTGTCTGTCTCCCTTAGTAGACTGTGAGCTCCTCGAGGGCAGGAACCGTGTCTTACTCATCTCTGTATACCCAGCGCCTAGCACAGTGCCTGGCACAGAGTACGTTGTCCATAAACGTGTGTTGAGTGCATGATGGGGGTGGGAGGTTTGGAAGAGTTGCTGGGACTGGGGTCATTAGTGTCTAGAACAGTGCCATGCATTGTGGAGGTCTTCAGTCAGCTTGAGTGGCATGTCTGCGTGAGTGCGGGACCACGAGGCATGGGACATCCCCAGCAAAGGGCTCACTACCCCTGCTCCTCCAGCCCCACCTACAAGTGGAAGCGGCAGGTGACCCAGCGGAACCCTGTGGGACAGAAAAAGCGCAAGATGTCCCTGTTGTTTGACCACCTGGAGCCCTTGGAGCTGGCGGAACATCTCACCTACTTGGAGTATCGTTCCTTCTGCAAGATCCTGGTGTGGCCCGAGGGCTTGGGGCCAGGGGTCTGGTGTGGGCTATAAGGGGGTCTCAAGAGGGGTAAGGTCCCTGGGGGTAGGCTGGGTCACAGTGTGGGTTGGGGTTACAGTGTAACTATCAAAGGACAGCTGGAGGTTGAGGAGTGGCCATCCATGAGGGGAGAGGCTGGCAAGGTGCTGAGGCCACTCCCACCCGTCCCAGTTCCAGGACTATCACAGTTTCGTGACTCATGGCTGCACCGTGGACAACCCTGTCCTGGAGCGATTCATCTCCCTCTTCAACAGTGTTTCGCAGTGGGTGCAGCTCATGATCCTCAGCAAGCCCACAGCCCCTCAGCGGGCCCTGGTCATCACACACTTCGTCCTCGTGGCAGAGGTGCTTGCCCCTCCCCGTGCCCTTGACCTCCCCATTTGCCGGTCTGGCCGAGCCCTCCTTTCCACAAACCCACTGCCTCTCTCCAGAAAGGCCGGGCTAAGTTCTGGGCCCACTTGGTGACTCACTGCCTCCCCCTCCCCATTTGCCTCCCAGAAGCTGCTGCAGCTGCAGAACTTCAACACGCTGATGGCGGTGATCGGGGGCCTGAGCCACAGCTCCATCTCCCGCCTCAAGGAGACCCACAGCCACGTCAGCCCTGAGACCATCAAGGTGCCTGCAATAGGGGACTGGCCAGTGCTTCCCAGGTCTGGCCTCACTGTGTCCTGCCAGCAGCGCTGGGGGCTGGCGCGACTGTCCCCACTTGACAGATAAGAAAACTGAGGCTCGGAGGGGTTAAGTGCTTTTCCCAGGTGGCACAGTGGAAATGGCAGAGTGGGGGCTCGCAGGTCTGTCTCACCCCAAAGCTTATACTTTTTCTCCTTTTCTAACATATTAGGTAATATACATATAGAAAAGTATATAAAACATATTAATAGTTTAAGGAAAAATTATAGAGAAAATGCCTGTGTAACCGCCACCCAGGGGAAGAAGTAGGAAATTGCCAGCCCCCGAAGCTCCCAGCACTTTAGAGCCTAACTCCCTCCCACCAGAGGTACCTGGTGGGAGGCTGGTACCTCCCACCTGGCTGCCTTTTGTGATGATGACTTTGGCTTTCTTCACAGCTTTACCACTTACCTATGCATCCCAAAACAATGTGGGGTGTTTTCTTTTCTTTTCTTTTTTTTTTTTGGCCTATTTTTAAATGAATGGAATCATGTCATATGTTATTTTATATCTTGCTTCTTTCATTTTACGTGGTGTGAGATTCTTTTCATTCTGCTATGTGGAGCAATTGTTCATTCATCTCCTTGCCATATAATGTTTTATTGTGAGACTATCCCACTTTATGTTTCTATTCTATTGTTGAACATTTGGGGCTTGTGCAGTGTTTGCTGCTATGGATGGACAATGCAGCTAGGAACATTCTTCTAGGTCATTGCCCTGCGCTGCCTTGCCTCTCTGAGCCTTGCTTTCTTTTTCTGTTAAATGTTGATGAAAACTTGTGCCTAGGTCTAGTGGTGTGTTTGGCAGTGGGTGTTGTCTTGAACTCATGACCTATGAACTCTGACCTCCAGGGGCTGAGAGAACTACTGTTGAGGGAGAGTAAGGGAGGATTTTACTCTTTCATCTATCCCTCACCCTGACTCTTCTTCCTCTACTTCCACATTTCTAGGGCCGAGGTGGGGAGGATGGTTGAGTGGGGTGTGTGTGTGTGTGACCCTCTGCCTCCCCCCTCCTCCAGCTCTGGGAAGGTCTGATGGAACTAGTGACGGCCACAGGCAACTATGGCAACTACCGGCGCCGGCTGGCAGCCTGTGTGGGCTTCCGCTTCCCCATCCTGGGTGTGCACCTTAAGGACCTGGTGGCCCTGCAGCTGGCACTACCTGATTGGCTGGACCCTGCCAGGACCCGGCTCAATGGGGCCAAGATGAAGCAGCTCTTTAGCATCCTGGAGGAGCTGGCCATGGTGACCAGCCTGCGGCCACCAGTGCAAGCCAACCCTGACCTGCTGAGCCTGCTCACGGTGAGGGGCTGGGGCCAGGCAGGCGGGGGGCAGGGGGGAGGAATGGCAGGGGCAATATATGTAACCCTAACAATATTTGTACCCCCATAATATGATAAAATAAAATTAAATTTAAAAAAGAAAGATAGCCAGCCTTTAAAACCAGCATGCAATACTTGCGTCATGGACTCTTGTGCTCAGATATGTTGTATATCTACGTGCAAGCACTGCATCAGTGCCCTAGCCATGTCTCTGCTACCCAACTTCCAATTTCTCAGCCTGAAATTGGATGCAGTTAGCCAGGATTGGAAAGGCACCAAAGTTCAAGCTTAAGGAAAAAAGGAGATAAGAAATTCTGCTGAGATTTAAAATTATTATCTATTAATTTAAAGCAAGCAGATACCATGTATTGATTCACAGTTGGACTCTGCATTTGTTTTTCACTTGTTAAGAACCCAAAAACGAGGAGTGATTAATACCATAATCAACCTCCAATAATGAGGACACTAGGAAATTCTTACAATGTAATTCATTTTATGCAAAATTAAAGCTTCTTAGGATTAAACCTTTGCACTCTTCTTATGGGATCTCTCTATGTTGTACTCAGATCAATATTTGCAAGTCACAAAATGATCTTTTAAATTTCCTGCATAGATACCTGAAATTGCTCCCCTTGTTTTTTGGGGAAAAGGCTGATTTCCATAGAAGAGTGTAGAAAGTCCCCCACCCCCCACCCCCACCCCCCACCCGCCTGCCTGGCCCAGCCCCTCACCGTGAGCGAGCTCAGCAGGTCGAGGTTGGCTTGCACTGGTGGCCGCAGGCTGGTCACCATGGCCAGCTCCTCCAGGATGCTAAAGAGCTGCTTCATCTTGGCCCCATTGAGCCGGGTCCTGGCAGGGTCCAGCAATCAGGTAGTGCCAGCTGCAGGGCCACCAGGTCCTTAAGGTGCACACCCAGGATGGGGAAGCGGAAGCCCACACAGGCTGCCAGCCGGCGCCGGTAGTTGCCATAGTTGCCTGTGGCCGTCACTAGTTCCATCAGACCTTCCCAGAGCTGGAGGAGGGGGAGGCAGAGGGTCACACACACACACACCCCATCAACCATCCTCCCCACCTCGGCCCTAGAAATGTGGAAGTAGAGGAAGAAGAGTCAGGGTGAGGGATAGATGAAAGAGTAAAATCCTCCTTACTCTCCCTCAACAGCAGTTCTCTCAGCCCCTGGAGGTCAGAGTTCATAGGTCATGAGTTCAAGACAACACCCACTGCCAAACACACCACTAGACCTAGGCACAAGTTTTCATCAACATTTAACAGAAAAAGAAAGCAAGGCTCAGAGAGGCAAGGCAGTGCAGGCAATGACCTAGAAGAATGTTCTAGCTGCATTGTCCATCCATAGCAGCAAACACTGCACAAGCCCCAAATGTTCAACAATAGAATAGAAACATAAAGTGGGATAGTCTCACAATAAAACATTATATGGCAAGGAGATGAATGAACAATTGCTCCACATAGCAGAATGAAAAGAATCTCACACCACGTAAAATGAAAGAAGCAAGATATAAATAACATATGACATGATTCCATTCATTTAAAAATAGGCCAAAAAAAAAAAAGAAAAGAAAGAAAACACCCACATTGTTTTGGGATGCATAGGTAAGGTTAAAGCTGTGAAGAAAGCCAAAGTCATCATCACAAAAGGCAGCCAGGTGGGAGGTACAGCCTCCCACCAGGTACCTCTGGTGGAGGGAGTTAGGCTCTAAAGTGCTGGAGCTTCGGGGCTGGCAATTTCCTACTTCTTCCCCTGGGTGCGGTTACACAGGCATTTCTTTATAATTTTCCTTAAACTATTAATATGTTTATATATCTTTTCATATGTATATTACCTAATATGTTAGAAAAGGAGAAAAAGTATAAGCTTTGGGTGAGACAGACCTGCGAGCCCCACTCTGCCATTTCCACTGTGCACCTGGGAAAAGCACTTAACCCCTCCAAGCTCGTTTTCTTATCTGTCAAGTGGGGACAGTCGCGCCAGCCCCAGCGCTGCTGGCAGGACACAGTGAGGCAGACCTAGGAAGCACTGGCCAGTCCCCTATCGCAGGCACCTTGATGGTCTCAGGGCTGACGTGGCTGTGGGTCTCCTTGAGGCGGGAGATGGAGCTGTGGCTCAGGCCCCCGATCACCGCCATCAGGTGTTGAAGTTCTGCAGCTGCAGCAGCTTCTGGAGGCAAATGGGGAGGGGAGGCAGTGAGGTCACAAGTGGGCCCAGAACTTAGCCGGCCTTTCTGAGAGAGGCAGTGGGTTTGTGGACA